TTTCGCCATGCATTAGTTGCAATTTCCCCGTTAGTTTCCCCCGGGACTGACAAAAATTTGCGGTTTCTGCTTAGACAAGAGAGAAAGTTGTACCAATGTACTTTTACATTTTCGAAACTACTGATTCGTTATCACCGTCTTCCTCAACGATTCTTAATTATGAGGCGCAGCAGTATTGAAAGACGCGTCTGTCAAACTCCAATCATAGGCGCACCATAAGGAAGGGGAGGGCAGAGGGCGAAAGGTTGGTTTCCCCACCGCGAAAATTTTGATAGATCCGGAAAACACTCTTATGCTCGCTTAACAACATTCCTTTCTCCCGTGCGGCTTCAACTAGGCCAAACTGACAAGCGGGGAGAACGAAGCAACCCGAGGCTAATCCTCTTTAATCTTGGGGAAAGGGAGTGTGAGGGTCAAAACATTCCGTTCCTTATTCCATCTAGTCCTCCCCACTCGCTTCCCTTGTACATGTATACGAAAGTGACAACTGCTTTATACCCGCTCTTTCAGAAATACAATGTGACGATAACTTTTTTCGTCAATTTCATTTCGTGAAAGCTCGGAATTAAGCTTTTTCAAGAATTTCGCGAATTTTAAACTTCGCAGTCTGGACCATCCCGTATATATTGACTATTCGCCCATGCGGTAAAAATTTCGGGAATGATTACTTTCGCGATTCTTTGTGCCTCACGGAACGGGAGCAAAAATTATCGCGACATTGTAATTTGTGTTGGGAGCAGGGGGGGGGGGGACTGGACATAACTTCACATGAGAGATGTGATATTTGGGGGGAAATCACCTCCTTGCCCCCCCCCCCCCCGCTCAATTCGGCGTATATGAACATGTGCCTTGCTGAGTGAAAAATCTTCATTCCTTTCAGAATAAAAGCTGTATCTTTCCTTTCTTCTCGTGTCCTTGTGCTGATTAATTTGTGTGCGTTGTTGAATCTTTTCCACAGTGACGGGTTTGTTGCTTCAAGAGCGTGATTTCATGATTTATGGGCTATGGTTGGGGACAGTGATCTGCCTTGCTGGTGCCATCCTCTTCAGTGCATTGGGAGCCATTTTTGCAGTCGTCAACACGGCCACGAACCCCGTGGAATCCGCGTTCGGCGTCTCGGGCCTCTACGTCTGGAACTCCATTGCTGGTATGCCCCCCACCATATCATGTTCATATCTATCCCGCCGTGATGCTGTAATCCCTGTCACTGTGCGCTAATAACGGTGAGAAAATGGAGGTCACTGAACACCCCGCTTGAGAGAATCCCATTCGAATAAAAATAGTTAATGGCTACCGAGATTCACTCGAAGGCAGACCATCCGTAGGCTTATCCAAGGTCAGCAACAGATGTTCACGCATCGAAGCTTTGCCCTTGAAATTTCATCCTGGCATGTGGAGGGAAACAGGGTTGCCCAGTTTACGATATGTGAATTCAGAATGCACCAGGGAGACAGGTTTTTTTGTGGTGATAATAATCTGGTCTTCTTAATGAACCTGTTGGTGCTCAACCGCAATGCAAGTGAATTGTGGGAGTCGCCATACGGTTCACTGGTATTTCTTAATGATAAATCTTCGTCAGTCTCTCTTTTGAGGGAGACAATATCTCGTCTCTCTCTGTCTTCACAATAGAAGGACAGAGTATTCTCTGCGCTCCAATTGCGATCAAAAGACTTGAGGTGATGAAGAAGAGACCAGCGCACGGCTAGTTACGTATAGTGTTCCGTTTTTGCCTTTGTTTTCGCGTCTATTCGCTTCTTAGAAACCTGGAGCGGGTAAGAGACAGTTTTCAAGGTTAAACCGTTATAAAGGCCCGGTTACTCTCCTCTAAATGGTTCGATTGATGACCGCAGTATAGTCTAGCACGGGGGGGGGGGCTTGGGATTGAAATACCATAAGATTCGGGCATGTCAGACTTTACTGGCTCTGATAGGGCAGTTGCACTGTCCAGAGGGGCAGGTAATGATAGATTAACCAAAAACAGGCTAAAAGTGGAGTTTGTGGAAAAACAGCAAAATACTTAGACCGGCCTGAAAGATCGGCACCTGGTTTTAATACTATTCCTTCCGGAACTTCTCGTCATGGTTCGGGGGCTTGAAGCCAACGGTCAATCAGACATTGATCCATCGTGCTTACTTCTCCATCTCCATCCGTGTGTATTTCCAACTGAACTTAACCCGTTCACTCATAAGGATTATAATGAAGTGACATGGAATAGTATAGCCATGCTGACCTCGGCACAGCACAAAATGCGACAAAGCATTCTGTTGTTATTTTTCTTGATGTCCACGTGAATACAAGTATGTTAGTTAGCGGACTATTAATAAACTATAGAGCAAAGCGAATAATATCAATAACCTTGCCTCGAGACAATGAATTAGAATGAAATTTCACGTGTCCTACAAACGTATCAGCTTATGCACAAGGCAAGTTTTGTGAAAATTATATCTATATCCAACCAAATATGAATCTCCCTCAGAGTTGTCATGCGGAGACCGCTGTTGAGTCAACAACGTGGCCTATGTCGTGGCCTTTTGTTTCTAAAATAATCAGCCAGGGGGAGGTAATGAGAGAGGCAGATAGGGGTTCAGCCACTCCGGGTAGTTATGGATTGTAATGGAGGGGAGTTACTATATGGTTGGACAGTTATACAGTAAACCAATAGCTTTTTTGCCACGTTCTGTAGTTATTTTTAGCAAAAATTGCTTGTGAATTTCCGAAGTAGGAATCCATTTTGAAGTTTTTTTCCCCCCTGTGAATCTAGCCTCCAATTTCTTGACATGTAAGAAAGTGCCTAATTTTGTACATCATGCATGCGTTTCAAGATATGCCTTATGTCATCATATTCAACATTCTCTTAAATATAGGTTCAAAAGAATGAATACGTTTTGGGTCTACATAAATGACGAAATTCAACATCACTCTGTACGGAGCAGTGCTATAGAAACAATTTATTCATTCCGAATAGATGCTTTTCAAATGATGCGGATGAATCGTCATCCCGCAAGACTTGACCTTTTATGCGTTCAATTAGTCTAAATGATTACGAATTTCTGCATCCCAGCGTTTGAATTCACAAGTACAGACATTTTCTATGCACAAAGCTGGTAATCCAAAATTTGTTGTGCTCTAGAGAGAAAGCTACAAGGAAAATGAATTTCGATTGATTTGCTTATGAATTCCGAAAGCAGGTATTTAAGACTCCTCACGCATTTGGTGCCATGAATTTCTGGGAGATCATTCTGAATCTTTAGGGATAAATAAAGGGCAATACAGTAGAAATCTTATCGCAAAATTAACCTCCTGAGGATTTCATGCGATGTGTTAAGGTCTCAAGTCCGCTAGTCTCCGCGCAAGTCAGGTTTCCAAACCCGGTGCTCTGGATTTGCTTTACCAGGACTGGATGTTCGTTCTACTATGTGCCTAGCCTAGGATGAATAAATGCCTGGAATTCCATGAGCAGAATGCTCGGGGAACAAGTCCAGTAATAATTTTGTTAGTGCTTTGGATTCCATTCTTTACCAGAAATAGAGCATGAAAACTGGGATATTAATTCAGGTCTATTGCCATCAGGGCTGGAGAAACAAAGCGAAAAACGAAATATAAACAATATCTTGATAACGTTACTAAGGATAGTCTGCTTTTTTTTCTGGTACCAGTGGATGTGGATCAATTATCAAATCGAAGGTGATAGGTCACAACTCAGAACCATCTTCGCTCCTTTCCCTTCAAGAAATTACTGGAATTGCCATTTCCTATCGAATACGCCATCCGTGAAACATAAGGTGACCGTTACCGTCTGGCACCCCAGAAGTAAAAATGAATCAACTTGAGGGACACCCCTCAAATCCAGTCAGCCTATCTAATCCCGACTGGTGTATGAGTGCAAGTTTCACTGGAGTACCAACTCAAGGACAGAGATGCCATTCCGTTTGTCATCATAGACTTCTCTTTACGACCAAATGGTGTCATTCGATGGTATCCATTCATCAGTGAAGCTTTATAGATTCTCACGATGAAAGTAAATAGAGGGTCTCCATCTATCAGTGGCAGATCTAGGAGAGGGCGACCCCCTCCCCCTTTGGCAATGGGAGAGAGTAAAAACCAGATATGACATAACGCAACATCAGCTAGAAACTGTCTACGTTGCCACATACAGCCTCAGCTTGTCAACAACGTATTAGTCATCTGGAAGGCAATCGGGGTCAATGACATAGCACCTAACCCAGGCTAAGAACTGCATACAACTACAGACAGATAACGGGGGGGGGGGGGGGACAGAAACGGGGGGGAAAAAAAACCACATACTCACTGCAATTTGACATTTTCTCACAGGTCACTGCCGGAATGGCAGATAGCATCGTTTCACGTTCAAATGCGGGTTTAAGGGAAAATAGCGGACTAAATGGTGGCAAAAAAGAGGAAAGTTTCTCTTGATTAATGAAAATACTGTCAGCCTTGGACCTCCACAAAACAAGTTACAGCAGAAAGATGCTTCTCTCGACTTGGCTTATGCGCTCCTCGCGTTCTTTATGGGTAATCAATTCATAACACCCTATTGACGTGTAGCAATTCGGAGCTATATGATGTTGAATGAACCAAATTTAAGTTCTGAATTTTGAGATTCTTACTTGGTACTTTTGTTTACAAATATACCACAAAAAGCTCTGGCGATCCTGGTGATGTTCAGTTGCAATTATGCTGCTTTTATTTCTTAACCCTTTGGTATACTTGTAAACAAAAGTACCACGTAAGAATCTTGAAATAAAAACATAAAATGAAATTACTCTGGGTTCCAAGAAATGACTGAAACGAATCAATGTCAATGGCGCTATCCAGCTCTGGTTATCATACAGAGGGGACAAAAAGACGTAGCAGTGGGCAGCAACTGCGTTATGCAGACTACTACAATGGAGTGAATCATTGAGAAGGATAATACCTCGCATCCTAATTGCACACATTATTTTCAAAGAAAAATAAAAATCCTTTTTTTTAAATGGATTCTAGTGATCCTGAACCTGGCCACCATGGGGACTTGGATTGGCCAGTTCTACTTCCGCCTAAAAGGTAATGTCTTTGACAAGGAAGAAAGGGCTAAGCAGTGGACTTCTGCTAACATGGCCACTTTTGGATACTCTTTTTGGTGAGCTGTGCTTCTTAAAATCACTTAGCACAAATGACTTCATTATAACTAATGTGAAGTTCTTTTTCTTTCATAGGCTTTTGCTTGGGAGTGTCTTGGTGCATTTTCTCAACCTGATGTTTTTGATCAGTGGTACAAGAGAGAGGAAACCCAAGAATGAGTTTGTAGCACCAATAGAAGGAAAAGGACAAGGAGCTATAATGCTATATTAACCTTGTGTTGTGACTGTTTATTGATTTACACTCTCAATGTCAGGATGGCTTCTATTTCTAAAAAAATAGGCTTAGCATCCCCTTGGAAGTTAGAAGTTCATGCTCAGTGATTTGTCTTGCTGAGAGCATTGACTATTGTGATCTCAATTGTTCAAAATGTCCTGTTTGCTCCTTGATACTGACAGTCAGCTGAATTTTCCAGGACCCTGACATTGAAGGGATATGCGCTTTTTGCTTTATATGACTATGGCAATGAACCAACTCTGACAATTCAAATTGTGGTTTTATTAACAAGAAAGTGCATTTGTATGTATACAAACAAGAAGCAGCAATAGATTATGATCACAGACATGTCCCATTTTCCCCCAAAAATAAGAAATGAAAAAATTTCAGACATATTTAGCCACATATCATCACTTTAGGTTCAGAGCATAAGTAATTGTTCATCCCCATTGATTACTGCAGGTTTTTCAAGAAGTTCAAGAGCAAAGAATGGAACTTTTCTGTGCCTGGTGGTAAGTATGCAGGATGTTTGGCTCCTTCTATCATCTCCAACTGACTACCAGGGATTTGAGACAATCTTTTACTCACTTTAGCCCCTTGTTGATCCATGCTGCCATAAATTATAAGGGAAGGAACATTAATTTTCTTCAATTTCACATCATCAATCAAACTATCAGAGATGGGGGCAACTGGAACAAAACCAGCAAAATACTCCTCATGGTCCCTGAGAAAAGGGAAGGCATATGAACCACTCATGGAGGGAGCAACAACCACAACTCTTTTGAATTTAAGTTTATCAACAAATTCTTTCAAGAACTCTCCTTTTTGGGAAGATGGCAGTTGCTTGGCTGTGGTCTTTGACTGTACTGCTCCTGGCAAATCTACTGCCACTACATGATATCCAAGACTGGCTAGATGTGCAGGGGTGTTGATTTCCATCCATGTGCTTGAGCTGAATGCAGCTCCATGAAGCAAGAGAATCAGTGGTCTCTGATGATCCAATACCTCTCTTGGCTTGGCCTCTTGAAAGAACACTTTCATTTCCATGATCATAAGAGAACTTGAACTGACTGTAGCATTTTCAAACATCATTTTCTCATCAGGAGCAGATTTGTTACTCTGTTGATACATCAACCCAATCTGTGATTCTCCAGATGTCTTGTCAGGCCAAGCAGGATTAGATCCACCAACCTCTTGATCCACAGTCGACAACTTCAAACTGCTGTGTAACATCAAGAAGATAGCAGCACAGCTCAATATGCCACAGTACAGAGCAGTCTTTGGATATCTCAACCACAAAAACACTGTGGGAGAACTTTCTCTCATATTAGCCCTATAAAAAGCTAATGAGAAAAATCACCTGAAAAAGAGCTGCTATTAAAGTGACGAAAATTCAAAATTTTAGATTAGCATAAGCTGGAATAAGCAATAATTGGCTGACCCATTCTGGTCTAATTATCATATCAAAGTAGCCTAATATATGATAAACCAAAAAATGGCAATCTAAAATACTTGCACTATTAACATGCTACATATTCATGGCAGATAGTTTCATCAGTTAAAGTTATACTCAATAAAATCTTGCAACTACTAGTTTCACTATGCCATGTGGGAAGAAAAATATTTTTGTTGGAAACCAAGATTTCTTTACCAGATAAAAGTTAAATAAATAGGCACAATTTGAGGCATGAGGAACCAGCAAATGAGTTCTTGAGGTGATCTTTAAATCCCCCATTCCCACAATAAGCATGCAAGGTCTATGAACTTTTCAGCAATTGGAGGTTAATCTGAGAATGACAACTCTTACACTTATTGAGGAGTTTGAGAAGACACGGACTGGAGCATACTCTCCTTCAGATGGGTTTTTCATATTTGTTAATGTACTGTATGGCAATTTCATAATATAAAATAATAATAATAATAAACTGGAAAAACCTTGTGGCTAAAACTTTAAATTATCTTTTGCCCCTTGCAAACATGTAAAAACTTTCCTGGGTTTAAAATTTTTTTCTTTGAGTGCTACCTCACCAAGTCACAACCCATCATTTGAGGGGGTGAACTTGGTTGAGCATTTGTGCATAGGCAGCAACAAACACAATGCTAACAATGCTATGTGTTATCCCAGGAGTGCTTTCTCTCCAATGGACATACTAAAGTAAGCAGCATCTCTAGTGAGGGCTGTGCATGTACATTTTAATGTGCCTAGACTCATTTTTGACAAAGAAACACATACCACACTGTTTTCAGATTGAATTTGTACCCCCAAAGGCATGCTTCCATCATTTATATACATACTTTCACAAGGATGGTTTTTTGGATTGTCTGATGAAGTGAATCCTCTGGAAGTAGTGCTTCTTCCATTCTCCACTACCCAGAGGGGGTAAAATCCAATCTGAAAACAATAACTTAATGTTAGCTCTACCCAAATTCATGCATTAATCCCTTCACAGCTATGTTCTTTTTCTTTGTACATTTCTGTGCTGAGCTTTTTTGCTTCTGGTGCACCTTAGTGTACTCTACTAATAATAATAAAATAAGTTCCCTGATTTACTTTATTATCCAAGAGTATAACTGGACTGGTACAGGTAGTCCTGAAAAATCTCAGGAAAGATGCACAAGAAGAAATGCTGTAAGAAGAGACACACTTCCATGACAGTTAACTGAATCATAGCAGTTAAGAGGGTTGAAATGCATCAATTCATCACAGGATCATTAAGGTGGTACAAGGTCTTAATGTTGGTGCATGGCATACCATCACTGCTAACCAAGCTAAGCAATACAAAGATAGATTGGCTTTCACCTTCATTTCGTATCCCCACACTAACTTTGCTTAGGCTTGGGCCGCGCCTAATGCTCCCATAATCCATTGACAGAATTCAAGAACGTACGATGTCATTAGCGTTGGAATTCAATGTATTGTACTTCAGGCCAGGCCTACTACGCAGATTAACAAATGAATTCCTACTCCAGCGTTTTTTAATTATAAAATTCTCCACTTGCCTTAGACACCCAAGCACGAACATCTAACGTTAAGGTGAATGTTCAAGGTTCGAGCAGGGACGTCAAGAGGCATATTTACCAATTAGGACATTCCGTGTCAAGTGTTAAAATCAAGTGAAATACTCTGTACCTTCTACATTGTGCGAATTATGTATAACATATAATGCGTGCAAGGAGATATGAAGGCATAATTCCAGTGAAACTAAATTGAAATACCTGTAATCTACAGAGCCCATGTTAGTGTTTTTCACTTGACTTGTACACCTGTGAATAGGATGTTCCTTATGCACGAGTGTCTGAGCTTGTGTGAAAATTAGTCTAACTCACGAAAAACACATACGAGTTCACTTGCGTATAACGCATCTTGGAACAGACATTGACGACACGGACACAGGCTCGACCTAGCGGGGAATAAGAGATTCAGGTGGATTGAATCCCCCCCCCCCCCTTCTGTGGAGGCGCGCAGAGCAGGGGAGGGGGAGTAATGGGGTCTTTCTTCGCAGTTGACAATTTCCGCAACCAGTCAAGTTTCCGCTCATCTCTGCCGCCATCCCTCGCCCCTTCGTTACTCCTTTGAATTGCCTTAGAATATCTCTGCTGATTACGTCAGACGGACACCCCCTTTCCCTCAAAGCTCAGCCTTTTCGTCCACCTATGGGAACACAGAACTTCTGGTAGCAAATACGGAATTCACATAGGTCTCTCGATTTCATGTGGCCCAGTGTAGGATTGAGTTCACAATGATCAGTATTTTCAGTTTACCTCCAGTTCATTTGCTATGTATCCCCAGTTAACGAGGACTCTATTGACTGAAAATAAATTAAAACTGGATTTAAACTGATTTGAGACTTTGATATTTGAAACTGAATGGCATGAAATCACTGATGGTTCAAGCATGAATCCCTTTCATCTACGAGCCACGGTCTGGGCAGACGAATCTGCGTATAAGAAAATGTCTGATGAATTATATTTTAGTTTATCCAACTCTCAGAATCAAATCTGAACTTCATCCATTCATCCTGCTTATGTATGACGCATCAGTTAAAGTCCTGCTCCCTATATGGGTTCTTCACATCCCTGGAGAAAAATAACGGATTCCGGTAGTTCCAAATGTCAGTCCGTACCAGGGGGAGGGGGGGTACGAATTAAATCCGAAAATAATGCATATGGTACAGTGAAAACTCGTTAACTCGAACTTTTAGGGACCGGGCAAATCGTTTCGAGTTATCCGAAGTTCGAGTTATCAGGAATCGCCCCCCCCCCCC